TATAAAAATTATTTGTTTACAATTTCTAGATCATGAGATATATTTATTTAAAGATCAAATTTTAAAACATCCCAAAGCCACCTTTTGCTGTGGGGCTCCCCATATATGGATGTGAACTTTATTATTTTTTTTTTTAATAAAATTTAATTTTGAAGTTAGGTTTTATTCTGCCTCATGGTGCAGGTGAATTAAGATATCTTTATGAAGCTTTTCCATGGTCCAAAAGACTTATTACCCGCATATTCAGTTTTGTTATGATATTGTGCGTATATTTTAAATAGACATATTATTCAAAATGTTAGTTAATAAATTCTATTGCAAAAGCGTATTACGACCTGCATTGATTATTGCTGAAGCCTTTGCCGTTTCTCTATATCTTATCTATGCAATCCGAGGAAAAAATGAAGAAACTCATCCATTGGAATATTTAAATCCAAGTGGGTATTTTAGCAAGGATTTTCTGTGAGTAATTATTATAAAACTTTGAATATTGATTTTATTCAATTTTAACGGATATATATTTCAAATGTATCTATTGAACTTATTAGTGTAATCCGCTTTGTAGCAGTCGCATTTTTAGTTATTATTACCGCATATCACATGTACTCTAGCAGATTATCTTCCTGTATAAATCTATTGTTTGCTGTAGTCAAACTTTTGGCACTTTCCATTATTGTAATAGTTGGTTTAATACAACTGAAAAATGTCAATTTTAAAAATCATTGGACAAATATATTTAATGATACAATAAGTGAACAAAGAACTTCAGTAGAGCAAGTTGGAAGTTATGGAGGTGCTATATTAGAGGTTTGAAATATATAATGTATAAATAAAGTTATTAAACTTATACTAATATTTCTTTAAAATTATATAAAATTTTAATTCAAGGTTCTTTTCACGTATGAAGGTGTGTTAATCAATCTTATTGTCTTTGTTGTATTTAACTAAATATTATCTAATTGTTTTATTTATTTGCTAAAGGATGGAACAATGTGAATTGTAAATAATTTTTTATGATTTATTCGAAATTCAATTTATATTATCTTAATTCAGGATTATATTACTTCTAGACTTATCTGATGAATTAATCAATCCGGAACGCACTGTGGGGGTTTCAAATATTTATAGCATTATTATCACTATTATATTATGTATGTTTTTGATATTATAATTTCATTTAAATTTTAGCCCATTAATATAATCTATTATTGTTGTTTAGATGTCTTGGTCAATATCGCCTATATAACAGTAGTAAGTCCTACTGATGCCGTTTTAAGAGGTGATACTAGTCAAATTATTGCAATATATTTTGGCGAGGCTTTGATTGGCAAAGCTGGAAAAAAATATTTCTCGTTACTTGTTTCAATCTCCTCCTGCGCAACTATCTCCGCAATGATTCACAGGTAATGCAATTTTTGTGACAATTAATATTTTAAAGCTAAATTCACTAATTGTTAGTGCTTTAAATATTAATTGTATCGTGATTATGATTGTTCTGTTTGCCCGGATTTTATGATTAACTATAATCTCAAGAAATATTTTTTTATTTGAATACTTTATTAGCGGTTCTCGAATTATAGTTTATGCCACAAGAAACGACTTAATTACTCTCTTTAACCGCCAAATATCTTCTCATGACAAAAGATTTAACACACCAATAAATGCGTTAGTTTTCCAATTGATTTATTGTACGGTTTTAACTATTTTCATTCCGGAAATTACGAATATCGTGTATGTACCTCTATACCTAACCATATTATATTATGGCGTTACTGCAATTGGCTTAATGGTATGTTATAGCAAAATAAAATTATTTAATATTATCGTTATTAGTATAGGGTGTATTTTTTACACCCTATACAATAATTATATAATATTCGACTAGTTTTAACAAAACTCACTATATTAAACTAGATTTTAATAAGAAAATACCCAAATATTCCTTATTTCAGAGGGACTAAATACTTGTGTGCGTTATTTTTACTATTGATAACATTAATTGCAGTTGTAACATTATTTCCTCTTCCAATAAGTGAGGGTGGATATTTATTAAACTATTTACCATATGCTTTTTCTTGGTTCGTTATTCTTTTTGGAGTAATTGCTCCATTATATATACTAAATATCAATTCTCTAATTTCATATATTGGAAAAATCATTTATTTAGCAGCAAATAATTTAGCAAGTTTTATTAGTTCACATAGTAGAATAATTCTTTTATTAGTAGTACTTCTAATAATTGTTATTCTAAATGTTATATTCTTAACTATATTTAGTCACTTTAATCTTGAGTTATCAATAGGCATTTCTATTTCTATCTATCTCGGTTCCAGTTTAATAGTTTTTATAATTTTTACTCTAACTCCTACTTGATAATAAATCTAAGCTTCTGTAAAAATTTGTACTATAAATAAACTTGTTTAGCATACCAAAATACATTAAGACAGCATATTATTCTTTATATTTTATAAAATTTTTGTTAAAACTTATAAAAATACAAATTTGTACTATTTTTTTTTAAATATTTAATAAATATAATAAAACATATACTATTCTAATATATTTGTATATATTAAACAATTTTACTTAAAGTACCAATTATAATTAATTAGTAAAATTTTGAGATATATAGTATTTTCTATAATTTTACTAGTAAAAATTAAAAAGACTAGTTATTTCAAAATTATACTAATAATTATAATTTTGAACTTTAAATAAACTTCTTTAGTATACAAATATGTATCAAACTAGTATATAATTCTTTATATTTTTTGTTAAATTTATTAAAAAGTAATTTTTTACCAAAAATACAAATTTATACAATTTTTTAAAATATTTTATAAAGAATTAATATTTAGTTACTTAGTTAAACAGCTAAATATACAACAACCTATCATCAAGCAGATAATAGACTAATATACAGTAAATTAAAAGCTATATTTTGAAAATAAAGTAATGCTACAAGATAAAACACTAAATATAAAGACCTAAAACTGAATTATCTCTTAAACAGAACAGGCAATAAGCAAAGAGATAATGCTAATAATTATAGATGATTTTAATATAGACCTAAAAAAAATAAACAAAAAAATCAACTTATAATATAATTAAAGAAAAATAATATACTTCTGCTATTCTATATCTTGATACCAAATATATCTATATAGAATGCAAGAAGATCTAGTAGTCAAATAGATGAGATATAGATTCTATTAATACAAATCAATAAATTTACAATACTACAAATAACTAATAGTGATCATAGTATAATACAAATACAATAAAATATACAAGACAAAATAATATATATACAAAAGAAAAGTACTCATAAAAGAAGAATTTATAACTAGTCTGGTGATCTTAGTGTAGTGGTTAGGTTGCCAGATCGCTATGCAAGAGGTCTGGGGTTCAAATCCCACTGTCAATGAATTTGAATAATTACCCAGACCTTTGTATCCAACTTACGGTAAACTCTGCCTATTTCTGGAGGTTACAACCCTGTAAATTATGTTGCACCAATGTCAATCAGACATTGGAAGTGTGATGCAATGCTCGAGTTACATTATGTGAATAAATCTTGATAGGATCTACAAGCAGGAAACCTGCATGGTAGAAATCCTGAGTTTGGTAAAGTAGTACAGATTTCAATGGTCAAGCCAGTTAATGCCTGATCTAGTGAAAAACCTGAGT